CCCCCTCCCGCCAGTCCGTGGAGCGCGCACCGCCTCGCCGCCCTTCCTACCCTCTTCCGTGGGCCTCTGGTCTGCGCTTGGCTCCGGCGACTCCGTTCTGCTAATCCTCTGGTGGTTTTCTGGGTTATTTAGGCAGGTGTAGGTGGAATCTAAGTGATCAGTAGGACGCGCGGTGAGCCCAGCGTCCTCCTACGCCGCCATCTTCCTATATCAGGTGTAAGTGGAATCTAAGTGATCAGCAGGACATGCAGTGGGCCCAGCACCCTCCTACGCCACCATCTTCCCAGCTGCCTCTGTAATTTTGTCCCCCCGAGTCTAAAGAGGACTCTTTAAGTGGAAAGGAGAGATCTCAAGTGACAGTGTAAACACATGAAACAGAAAAGTAGTAAAAATGAATATATCTGTAAAATTTGGTCAAGGAACTCACACTAGAAAAAAAGGTTATAAAATATGATAACATAAAACAGGGGAGGGAAGGGGAAAAATGGGTTGAAACTTGAATGACTATCAACTTAATATAGATTTCAATTTGAAGAAGAGTTTGTATACAAATGTAATAGTAACCATATAGTAAGAACCAGTAGTAAACATGCAAACAATAAAGAGAAAGAATCCAAATATACCATTAAAGAAAATCAGGAAAGCATAGAAAGACAAGCAAGGATCAGAGAAAATCTCTAGAAACAACCACAAAATAAGTAATAAAATGGCAATAAATACATATATATCAATAATTATTTTGAATGTAAATGGACTAAATACTTCACTCAAAACACATAAAGTGTCAGAATGGATTGAAAAAATAAAGACCCATCCTTTTCCATGCTACCCAGGGAGGGATTCATATCATATTGCATTCTAGTCATAACTTAAAGGGAAAAATACAGAGACTTGATGTCCTGCAAATGAATGAGGAGGATGTCCTCAAATTCCTTGTGGCAGGAACCCATATAGGTGGCACCAACCTTGACTTCCAAATGGAACAGTATATCTACAAAAGAAAAATTATGGCACCTACATCATAGATCTGAAGAGAACCTGAGAGAAGCTTCTGCTGGCAGCTTGTGCCTGTGTTGCCATTGAAAACCTGGCTGATGTCAGTGTTATCCCATCCAGGAGTACTGGCCAGCGAGCTGGGCTGCAGTGTGTTGATGCTACTGGAGCCACACTTATTGCTGGCCATTTCATTTTTGGAAACTTCACTAACTAGATCCAGGAGGTCTTCTGGGAACCAAGACCTCTGATGGCTACTGATCCCAGGGCTGACAACCAGCTCTCACAGAGGCATCTTATGTTAACCTGCCAACATCGCTCTGTGTAACACAGACTCTCCTCTGCACTATGTGGACATTGCCATCTTGTGCAATAATAGGGAGCTCACTAAATGGGTCTGATCTGGTGGATGCTTGCCCAGGAAGTTGTTTGAATGAATGATATCATAGCCTGTGAACACTTAGGGATATCATACCTGATCTCTACTTCTACAGAGATCCTGAAAAGAAAGAGCACACCTCTGCTGAAAAGACTGTGATCAAGGAGCAATTTCCAGGTGAATGTACTTTTTCACCTCCTGAGTTCACTCATCCTGAAGTCGCAGACTGCCCTGAAGGCATGCAGGTGCCCTCTGCACCTATTCAGCAGTTCCCTACTGAAGACTGGAGTACTCAGCTTGCCACTGAAAACTAGTCTGCAGCTCCCACTGTTCAGGCTGCTGAATGGGTAGGAACAGCCATTGAGTGATCTTAAGTTGCTCTTCCAAAAGACTGAAAGTGAAGGGCTAGAGAAACATTTATCATGCAAATGTATGTCAAAAGAAATCCAGAGTAGCAATACTTATATTGAACAATTTATACTTTAAATTTTTTTTTTTTCCAACGTTTATTTATTTTTGGGACAGAGAGAGACAGAGCATGAACGGGGGAGGGGCAGAGAGAGAGGGAGACACAGAATCGGAAACAGGCTCCAGGCTCTGAGCCATCAGCCCAGAGCCCGACGTGGGGCTCGAACTCACGGACCGCGAGATCGTGACCTGGCTGAAGTCGGACGCTTAACCGACTGCGCCACCCAGGCGCCCCGAACAATTTATACTTTAAAACAAACACTATAACTTTTTAGAGAACCTCCGTACTGTTTTCTACAGTTGCTGCACCAGTTTGCATCCCCACCAACAGTGCAAGAAGGTTCCCCTTTTTCCACATCCTCACCAACACCTGTTGTTTGTGTGTTGTTAATTTTAGCCATTCCGACAGGTGTGAGGTGGTATCAACATGGCTGTAATTTGTATTAACCTGATAATGAGTGATGTTAAGCATATTTTCATGTGTCTGTTGGTCATCTGGATGTCTTCTTTGGAAAAATGTCTATTTAAGTCTTCTGCCCATTTTGTAATTGGATTATGTTTTTTGGGTATTGAGTTTTATAAGTTCTTAATATGTTTTAGATACTAAACCTTTATCAAATATGTCATTTGTAAATATCTTCTATCATTTTGTAGGTTACTTTTTTAGTTTTGTAACCTCTCTGGCATTGTCTGTAGCAAGTTCTTTCTAGATATGTCTCCTGAGGCAAGGAAATGAAAAACCAAAATAAACTCTTAAAAATTGACATGAACAAGTGAATATATAAGTATCTAAAAAATGGTACTTGTGAATCTAATCTTAACAACAAAAATACAAACTACTTCAGCATTGACAGATATAATTAGCCTGAATATATTTGTATTTAATTTGAAATAGTTAATCTTGTTATTTGAGTATCTATCTCTATGATTGCTTATCTTTAAAAATTATATGGGGTGTCTGGGTGGCTCAGTCGGTTAAGCATCCGACTTTGGCTCAGGTAATGATCTCGCAGTTTGCAAGTTCAAGCCCTACATCAGACCCTGTGCTGACATCTCAGAGCCTGGAGTCTGCTTCAGATTCTTTGTCTCCTGCTCTCTCTTTGCTCCTACCCCGCTTGCACTCTGTCTCTCCCTTTCTCAAAAGTTAGTAAACTTTAAAAAATTAAAAAAATACATATGATTCCTTATGATACTTTAATCAAATTTATATCCTAAATTTCATATATAATTGTGTTTTTTTTCTTTGAACTTTCCATACTTTATTTTTATGGCATGTTTGTGGAGAAAATTTTATTACCCAATTCCAAAATCCACATTTATTCAGCAAATATGGTGCATGTCACTTACACAGAAACATAGTATTAATGCTTCCTGAACATATATTCTTTCTTGATCTTGTCATTCAGGTCTGAGAACCTCCATAACAACATGAGATAATGTCACATGCTTAGATGATGGGCTTCTTTGCAGTTAGATCACTGTATTGAAAACCTTTTCCCCCTAACTTGTGATAGTCCAAAAATGTCAATTTTTGTTTTTATCCTTTAGGCAAAGAAGTTTTATCTGCCTCTAATCAGGTAATAAAAATATTAACTTGTGTGATAAATGTCAAAATACAGATGACTTTATTTAAGGGTAGCTATAGGTCCTTCTGATAATTTCTGAATGAACTTGTAAAGCACTTTATGTTTTAAATAATTTTCCTTATATTTTTAATGCAAAAATTGTAAAATTAAAAAATATATATTTTAACTGATTTAAATGATTGGCAAGTTTGTTGTTGTCCTTATTGTTGTCCTAATTCTACTGAAGCTTATCATTTTAATTTTCAAAACTACTGTAACAAAAATAAAATTAAGTCAATTTACACTTATAATTTGACCACCAAAAACATTAATTCTTTTCAGCTTTCCATATTGCTTTCTAATGTTTAAACCCAGGAATTAGCATTTATATTTACAAACATGGTGGAACACATGGTGGTTAATAGACACATAAAGAATGTTTATTCCTTTTAATACTATATCACAAGCATTTTATTGATTTAATTATAATGCAGTATTTTAATGTTTTCCATTTTTTTCATGGTCTATGCAACAAAAATGTATTTAAGGTCAAAATTTTAATCGTATTTTATCTTATGACACTTTATTTTTTATGTAGTTTGACTAACTACTTATTGACATATAATTATTGCATATATTATGTCTGAATACCTGTGACTTAATGTATATCATTACTTTTTTAAAAAAATATTCAGAAGGATAATAGTATCCTTCTTTTCCCTTTTAATATTTGAAGTGAAATGAAAGTATAATGAGTAGTAGTTTGGATACCTAATGTAAGATCACCATCAGACAAGAAGAAACAAAGGGCAGATGTTGAGCTCAAATTTGATAGATGATCCTGGATCCTTTATTTATTATTATTTTTATTTTTCTGTGCTTGGCAGGAACATGAGAATGGCAGTGGTTCTGAGGAAGTGTGCTACACTGTCATTAGTCACAGTTCCTATCGGAGGCCCTCCCTGAGCTCCAACGATGATGGTTATGAGAATATCGACTCCACCACAAAGACAGTGAAGCCATTTAGAAATGGGCCCGAAACAGAATATGCCCTTCTCAGGATGACTTGTGCTACTAGGCCTTCTTCCTGTACCGCTGACCATGATTATGAACTTGTGCTTCCCCACTAGAAATCTCATGCTTCCACTAAAAAAGATGATACAAACTAGTAGCCTCCAAAGGAGTGTTTCTGCATCTCTGAAACATGACATCTTTGTGGTTTGGGTTAAGCCATATAAATTGACATAAGGTTATAGAGTATTTGACATTTCTTTGTAAAGTTTGAGGACATGGAAATGCTGGAATCTTCCTAGGGCATTGAACATCCATCAATATATGACCTAACATCCAATTCCAACACTGCTCTACAAATTTCAAATGACAAAATTTCCACTCATAATCTATTTCATTTTTGAGGTATAATCTACTCAATAAACTTTTAAAATATAAGATCAATGACCAGACCATTTGTTAACCTGATTTTTACTTAAATTTTGACTTTTTTCACATATTGGAAGTTTTTGCTTGTTAACTTGAGGTCACAGTTCAAAAATCCATAGGTTTTGATATTGACCTTTCTGAGAGGAGAAGCTGGGAGTCATTATAAAAGAAGAAATGTATCAAATTTAATTGCTTATTGTATTTTCCTCCAATGGTAAATCAAGATTCAAAGATTAGTAAAAAACAAATATAAGGTTTGTGCATATAGCTTTGCTCACAGCATACTAATTAATTTAATCTATGACTAGCTACTTCTGCTGAAGGAAGGTGAAGAGTTTTGAGTCTTAAAATTCAGTATATTGGATTTCTGGGAAGATGGCAGGCATAGGAAGATCCTGAGATCACTTCGCCCCACAGAGACATTGAGATAACAGATACATCAATGCAACTAACTCTGAAAAGGTCCTGAAGACTGGGAGAACAGATCTTCCATAGTTAATCATAAAGAGGAGGCCATATTGAAAAAGGTAGAAAAGGAAGATACATAGTTGGGAAACAAATACTTGTCAAGACTAATCACAAATGAGAAAGCCACCATAAGCATAGTAAAACAAGAAGATAAGACATCTACACTAGATACCCCAGGCATGGGGGACCTGAACTAAGACAAGTGCCCATAACATTTGGCTTTGGAAACAAGAGGGTTTCTATATTCAGTGGGCCTTAACTCCAGGTACTTTAAAAATCAGTGGGTTTATCTCTAGGACAGCTGGAGGGCAATAGGAAACTGAGTGCCCACCCTTAAGGAGACAACATAAGAGTGAACCCTGCTGAGATGCAGCATAGAAGCAGCAGTTTGAAAAGTGCCTAGAGTGTACAAGAGATTTATTTACTAATCTCAGAACATGTATTGGAGGGGCAGGTATCATTAAAAGGCTTCACCAAGAATAAAAATACTGGTGGTCACCATTTTCTAAATAACCAGACAATATATGCAGGAATGTCTTCCACATTGCTAATTCCATGCACTTCACCCACACATTTCCCTGCAGATCTACACCCTCTAACCCACCCCACTCTGTAGGCCTCCCTCCAAAGTGCCTCAAGCCCCAACACACCCTGGAAGCAAGCCCAACAGGGACTAGTACCACTTGGAAGTGACTCCTGCCCTGGGGAGAAGAGAAGATAATCAGACCAGTGTACCAGCAGTCCCAGCAACTGAATATTATAGCTGGCAGCACAGAGAGAGTGCTTGACTGATCAGTGCAATTTCAACCCAAGTGGATGAACTGGGGGCAGGCATCTAGTCTAACTGATCTCGCCCACCAGTGAAAGCTTTTCAGGGGACAATACAGGGAGAGCACCTTTCAAGTTGGTGTGACTGAAGTCTCAATAGATGGATTTAGAGTAGTCATCTGGTCTGATGGCCAGATCATCCCAACAACAAAAGTTTCTCTGGAGGCAGCATAGTGAAAGTGCCCTGCATTCACTGTGACAGCAGTCCCAGCAAATAGGCTGAGGGAGGCATCAGCTCTGACTACTGACACTGCCAACTACAAGCCCATGGCAGCTGGAGACAAGCCCATTAACAGAACTAGAACCAAACCCAGCTTAGTGTGCATATAACAGGCAAAATGGGTCACTGCAGACAACTGGACTGAAAACAAACATGGCTCAGCTGCAAGAGTTGGGAACATACAACTGACATGGAAGATGCACCTGAAGTGCTTGGTTCTGGTGAACAGGAGATATTGTGCTACAAGGTACCATAGGACTCTTCTTCATAAAGCACTACTTTCAAGATCAGGAAAATAGATGACTTTCTTAATACATAGAAACAAATACAGACAGTCAGACACAATGAGGAGACAGAGGGATATGTCTCAAATAAAAGAATAGCACAATGCTACAGCAAAAGAGCAAAATGAAACAAATAGGCAATATGCCTCTTAGAAAATTCAAAGTAATGGTCATAAAGATACTCACTGGACTTGAGGAAAGAGGAGAAAATCTCAGTGAGACCTTCAACAAAGAGAGAGAAAATATAAAAAAGAACCAGAGATAAAGATCTCAATAACTCAAACAAAATGTACAGTAAAGGGAATCAATAGCATATTAGAGGGAGCAGAAGAGCAGATCAATGATCTGGAATACAGGGTAATGGAAAGTAATGAAGCTAAACAGCAAAGAGAAAAAAAATTATAAAAAATATAAGAATAGGTTAAGGGAATTAGGTGACATTATCAAACCTAATACCATTTGCATTATAAAGATACCAGAAAGAGAAGACAGAGAGATGGGGGCAAAACATTTGTTTAAAGAAATAATAGCTGAAAATTTCCCTAATCTGGGGAAGAAAACAGATAGCCACATCCAGGAGGCACAGAGAACCCCCGAAAAATCAACCCCAGGATATGTACACCAAGACACATAACAAATAAAATGGTAAAAAGTAGTGATAAAAGAACTTTAAAAGCAGTAGAGAAGAGACAAGTTATATACAAGGAAAATCCCATAAAGCTATCAGCTGATCTTTTAAAAAAATTTCTTTCAGTTTAATTAATTAATTAATTAATTTATTTATTTATTCTGAGAGAGAGAGAGACAGAAAGTAAGCAAGGGAGGGGCAGAGAGAGAAGGAGAGAGAGAATGTGAAACAGGCTCCACACTGTCAGCACAGAGTCCAATGCAGGGGCTTGACCTCACAAATCATGACATCATGACCTGAGTCAAAACCAAGACTTGGACAGTTAACCGACTCAGCCATCAGGTGACCTATATCAACTGATCTTTTAACAAAAACTTTACAAGCCAAAAGAAGGAAGCATGATATATTCAAAGCCCTCAAAAGATTAAAAAAAAATCCTGAAGCCAAGAAAATCCAGCAAAATTACTATTCAGAATAGAAGGGGTTATAAAATTTCCCAGATAAACAAGAGTTAAAGGAGTTTATTATCATTTAACCAGCCTTACAAAAAATATGATAGGGAATTATTTGAGTGGAAAGAAAATACCATAATCAGGAGAAAGAACATTATAAAAGGAAAACCTTTAAAAGGTAATGCAAACATATAAAAAGGTAGTAGATTAATCATTATAAAATCAGCATGGTGGTTAAAACACAAAAGCAGTAAAATAAATTATAAATTCAAAAATCAGCCAAGGGATGCACAAAATAAAGAATGTAAACTGTGACATAATATACATAAGATATGCAGAGTGGAGTAAAAATCTAGTGCTTTTAAAATGGGTTCAAACTTTAGTGATAATGTAGACTACTATATTAATAAGATGTTATATGTCAACCTAATGGTAAACACAATTAAAAAACCTATAACAGATAAACAAAAATTATAAAGGATTTTAAAGCATTCCACTAAAGAAATAGTGAAAATAGTAAGACAAAATGAAAGGAACACACAAGAATTACAAAAACAACCACAAAGTGAGAAATAAAATGACAATAAGTACATACCAATCAATAATTACTTTAAATCTAAATAAACTAAATGCTCCAATCAAAAGACATAGGGTGTTTGGCAGAGACATGCACAAACATTTCTCCAGAGAAGACATCCAGATTTCCAACAGACACATAAAAAGATGCTCAACATCATTCATCTATGGGAAATTGAAATTAAAACCATGATAAGATATTTCCTCACACCTGTTGAAATGGCTAAAAGAAACATACACACACACACACGCGCGCGCACATACACATGCACAAGAAACACATATTGGCAAGGATGTGGAGAAAAAGGAACTCTTGTGCATTGTTGATGAGAATGCAAATTGGTGCAGCCACTGAAAAACAGTATAGACATTCTTCAGATAATTAAAAATAGAAATACCATATAATCCAGTAACTCCACTACTGGATATTTACCTAAAGAATCCAAAGACTCTAATTTGAATATATATAGATATAGATATAGATATAGATATAGATATAGATATAGTAATACTATAGATATAGTAATATATATAGAAATACTATATATATAGTGTATTTTATATATGTATAATATATATGGTAATACTATATATAGTAACATATATAGTGATACTAGATATATGGTGTATTATGTATATATGTTATATATAACATATATATATAAAACTAATACAAGAAAATAATGAAATCTTGCAATTTGCAACAACATTGATAGATCTAGAAAGTGTAATGCTTAGTGAATAGGTCAATCAGAGAAAGACAAATACCATATGATTTCATTCATATGCGGAATTTAAGAAACAAAAGAGAAAAGAGAACAAAGAAAAAAGAGACAAACAAAAAACAGTCTCCTACGTAGAGAGAACAAACTGATGGTTACTAGAGGCGAAGTGGGTGGGGGATGGGTGAAATAAGTGAAGGGGATTAAGAGTATACTTATCATGATGAGCACTGAGTAATGTATAGAATTACTGAATCTCTATATTATACACCTGAAACTAATATAACACTGTATGGCAGAGAGAGAGGCTGAATGGATAAAAAAGCAAGACTCATCTATATGCTGCCTACAAGAGGAGTCACTTCAGACCTAAAGATACCTGCAGATTGAAAGTGAGGGGATAGAGAAATATTTACTAATGTAAATGGAAGCAAAAGGAAACCTGGGGTAGCAATACTTATATTGGACAAAATATACTTTAAAACAGAATGGAATAAGAGACTCAGAATAACTCTATATAATGATAAAGGAAGTAACCTAAGGATATAAAAATTATAAATATATACGCACCAAACATGGAAAACACCTAAATATGTAAAACAGAAATAAAGGGCAAAATGACAGAAATACAATAATAGCAAAGGACTTTTAAAAAACACACTTACATCAATGGATAGATTATCCAGACAGAAAAACAATGAAACTGGCTCTGAATGACACATTGGACCAGATGGATCTAACATATATTCAAAACACTGCATTTAGAACAGTGGGTTACACATTACTTTCAAGTACACATAGAACATTCTTCAG